CTCAGAAGGGAAATAAATAAATGAAAAAGCTTTATTGTGATTCTTCAAGAGAACATACTGAAATATGCCTAGACCTCCACCCAGACCTCCACTGCTGAGTGTATGTGCATTTATTGCATTGAAAGCCTGGGCTGTTAAGAGGTATATAACCTCATTCACTTTCAGAATGGGTTGAAAGGGTGGGTCTGGTCCTGGACCTGGTTTATTACACAATAAAGAACTCAAAACATACTTGACTGCTTGATTGGAATGGCAGCTTTGACATGGGGGAGTATTCATGTCAAGCAGACTGGTAATGACATCACCAGTGGGCCATGTTCAGGTGATGGAGAGCTGTGTCATGCTTTGTTTGGTTTTCCAACAGAAGCCATATTAATTAAAACAGAGACTTTGAGAAAAACATGTCGGGAGGACAATTATGTATTCAAGAAATGTCATTCATTGGAAAACTCAGTAAGTAGTAATTCGTTTAGAACTTGCTTGGTTTGATTTTATAGAACTGTCCAGTCTGCAATGTCAACATACAAATGAACAGCATGCATTTTCATACATTAATGCAGCTTTGTGCGGACCTGAGTGAGGTAAGTGTATCCTGTCACTCAACGGTAAAAACAAGTATAACTACACAAAGCATACACCATTGTACCAGTTACCAAATGGTTTTGTTTCTTTTAAGACATTTTTTAGATTTTATTCCTAAAATGTGTATAGAACTACTTCCTCGCCTTTAGTCTAGAAACACTTAAAACTGAACATGCCACTTAATAGCCATGCAAGTCTTTAAGAAAGTTTCACAAGTATTCAGAATCAAGAATTCTGACTTTCTTTAGTTGTATAAACAAACAGTGGCCCCAGATGTTTTTGGACACTTAAGTCACAGATAAAGATGTGCACACAGACGTCCTAGCAGAGTAACTGCAGGTGTAGTTCTTCACATTATCTATAAACATGGTCCACTAACGTTCGACAACTAGAATGTTTCCAAATATATCTGCATTTTGAACAGTATACAGTTGTTTCATCATTGCAAACCTTAAAATACTTTCCTTGAAAACTATGTTTGTGGTATGTTTTTTTTTTAAATAAATGCTTGTTTGGGCTGATGTGCGTTGGTGCCTGGACATTGAATTTTGTTTCTCTCATGAGGAAAGATCCACTTATAATTGTTTGCATAAATGCAACTTGGTTTGATATATTGTTATATAACATTCAATCATTTTTAAGTGTGGCGTTAAGTGTTACATTTTTTTTGGCCTACAAGTACATATAACATATGACCTTAAGTAAACAATGGCATATTACTGAAATTTAGCAATTCAATTTATTACCTTAATAATTCCCATCAATCCCCTCAAAAAACTGAAAATCACTGTGATTTGATCTATTAGTCTGGGGATACAATGGAAAAAGAGGACCTTTCAAGTACCATTTAAGACATTGGCAACAGGTCCGGAGGTTGCTGAGTGAGGCAGAGGAGTTATGCTCTCTATTTGTCCCAGATGTGTTTGATTCAGATCAGTATAGAGCAGTAGTCATGGGAAAGTGGAAGTAGCACATTTTACATGTTATAAATACGGTGACCTATCCAAGATAATCCTCTAAATAGTGGTGTCTAAAAAAAGTGAAAAATCTTTGTTCAACGGAAGATTTTACAAATTAAATAAATAAGAAACAAACAAATGTTTGAGAACTAATAGGAAATGTCTTTGACGTGTTGCGTTCCTCAAGGATCTAATTACATATTTTCTTGACATCTAAGAAAGACCTCAGACAAGAGGGTTTGTTGCATTTCCATCTCGGATCCTTTGATTTACTGTCTCGTGACCTTTACTGGAAACAGTGCGCATGCTGCTGTTCCTGCGAGGCAGGGAAGATCATCCATTCGTGTGTCATCTCCTTTGTGCTCCAGAACAGCTGTGGGAGACTTTGACACCATGCCACATGGCTGTGATGGCTCTTCAGCACTGGGTCGGATCTTTGCGCTACAGGGCATGTTGATATTCCCACAAGGTGTGTTTTTGAAACGCACTCGGTCTTGCCCTATTCCGTTTCCCTCCTTTGACCTCCATCATCTCGCTGCCAGTCCTTTCATCCTGGTAAGGCTTGAAAATGGGGGATACAGTGGAAGAATCACAGAAAGAAAGTGAGAAGAAAAAAAGACGGAAGACTGGATGAGGGGGATTCAATAATGGTGAGCCAGCAGCAGGCCATCAGCAGGATTTTATTGTTTCAGCGTGCCATTCAGCATTTGTTTTTGATATAGGGCACATGGTTGCATTTAAAGGGTTTAAACAAGATTGGAGTGCACCGTCTCGTTTCCAGCATACGTAACTTTTGCTACTTGTATGCTAGAACTGTCCAAATAAAATTCTTAAAGGGACAGTTCACCCCAAAATAAAAAGTCTGTCACTCACACTCATGCCGTTCCAAAACGGTATGGCTTTCTTCTGTGGAACACAAAAAGAGATGTTTTGAAAAATGTTCACTCTGCTCTTTCTCATAATAAATGTGGGTGGGGAACAAATACTGTCAAGATCCCCCCAAAAAAGCATTAATGCATCATAAAAGTAGACTACATAATGCACTATATTTCATTATAAGACTCCTAACCACAATATGAAATTTGATATATAATATGATATTTACAAAAATATCAGCCTTGATCACCATTCACTTTCACTGTCTGTAAAAGAGTAGCTTTAACATTCTGGTAGATATCTTATTTTGTATTTTATGATCAAAAGATTTCAGGTTTCAAAACACTCAAAGGTGAATAAAAAAATACATACATTTTTGTTTTTGAGTGAGCTACTCTAGTTAAAGTCGGAATCTATTTTCTAAATGCATATTATAGATATTACAGTGAATAATTCATGCATGTATGCTTATTTTTTCCTGTTTTGACCTTGTAATGTTTAATTAAAATGTCATAACGCTGAACTTTTGGTGAAAATGACTCCTCTCTGGTGATGTATGCAGTACTTCTCTAATTATTTAGTCTGCTTAAACCAGTGTTGTTCACATTAATTTTTGATTGCAATGTCCACATCTCAAAATCCAATCAACAACCGATGCATAGAACCAAGTCCCCACCCTACTTTTTCAATAATCTGTTACCCTCAGGTATTCGTCACAATATGGACAGAACAGATATGTCGCTAATTCTGTTTAATTGCAACTTTAAAAATATGGGAGGGCAATGAGGTGGACCGGAGGCAGACCTTAAATAAACTGCATTTGACTGGATGAAAGTTAAGGTGCCCTTTCTTTAATTTCTTGCCGTTGACCTGCCTTTAGACATGGGGAAGTTAAAGGAACAAAAATAGCTTGTAAAAATTAATTCCTTATGGTGGAAATTAGCTTCTTGGAATTCTTTAGTGCCTTCTCCATGAAGAATTTCAGTATTGGCCTGGTATGGCGTCCACACATGAGCAGCTCATTCAGATGAGGATAAACATATAAGAAAGATGACGAGGAGGTCATCTCGTAGTCTGGAGTCCATCCTTCTTATGCCGAGATTCATATTGGTTAAAGATGACCGAGATGGTTAATGAATGCTGACATATAACTTTGTTTCGGATGCTTGGCCAAGGAGACATCCTGCATTGTTAAGAGGGGAGAAAGAAGGAGCGAGAGAAATTCCTGAAAACATATGGAAGAGTGAGACATGTTTTCACACAGTACACAATCCCAGCTGTATATCCCCATGATACAGGTGTCTAATTCTGCCAACTGATTTACATCAAATGTCTGTGCGAAACCATTTCCTCTTCCCTCGCTTTCCAATATACACATTATACAGAAAACATACATTGTATGCATAATCTAGCGAGAGGGGACAAGGGATTCGACCTGATAGGGCTCTGCATGTGTTTTCCACTGCATGTGTTTTTCTTGTAAATGTCCCTGAATCAAGAGGGAGTGGATAAAGAATATATTCATGAAATAATTTCCCAGCCCCAGAGATTCAAATACAAGCAGTTGGTGGACCCCGTGAGCAATCAAATACCAAATTAAAGAGAAACACAGAAAAATCCATGAGAATGGAAAGAGGAGAAAAGGTCACAGACCACAATGCTCACAGCTACCTCTAGTGGCCTGATGTAATAAAACAATACTCTTAAACAATGAATACATTATTCATCGCATCAATGTGAATCAAATCACAAGGAAACTGCATCTAAAATTTATAAAACCGAATCCTTACACTAGGTGCTGGGAAGTAGTAGTAGAAGCAGTAAACTTCTTTCCATTTGTGATTGATGAGGTGTGGAATTCTGGAAAAAGCCCAGATCATGACGTAAGGCGATTAACAGGTGTCAGGAACGGACATTGAGCTGCACCGGAGAAATTAATGGCTTTCAGCGAATGGCCATCCCCTTTCCACCGGTCAGCACGACCGTGAACCCCTCGGCTACACCATTAAAATGCATTGGCTCCCAAAACAGCCCTGTCCTGCACACGTACCAGTGAACCTTCAGGCCCTGATTGCTTCCACGTTGCTTGAGTAAACATCTGAGACGAATTAGGCCCTTGTTATTGTTGTTTGACTCTAACCACATCGCGTTGCCACGCTGTAGGAATAACAGTCCCACGATGCAAGGGCCAATACACGACAAGAAGACGGAGATGGGGGCTGCTGTGACACTTCATTACATACGTGTGGAGGGACCTGCCACAGGCTCGGCGCACACAGGTCCCATTATCTACATACCTAGACCCCTCCCAGACTCCCCTTAACACCAATGGCCCTCTACAAAACATATGCATCTCACAAAACTACGGTTCTGTTCTTGGCGAACATGGGTCCCTTTCTTCAAATGTTGGTTTTAGATTAGCCATCTAAAGTTGTTTTCGATACAAGCATTATAGACATTAAAACAGCAGTGTGATATGGTCTGCTCAAATAAGCACTTTATTGCAACTTTGAGTAAATAGTTTGTGTCAAAGGCCTATTGACTAGAAGAATGATAAATAAGGGGATTGGCAATGGTTGTTGGTAGTTGATGACTTATTTAATCTCATTATGATACTTGACTAAATAAATTAAACCTTCTTTGCCGTATGTATGAGTTAAGGCAAAAAGAATAACAAAAAATACACTACAGACAAACTGTCATACAAAAAGAGACTTGAGAAAATATTTGCCCGAAATAAAAAAATCTTCTCGACGATGAACTCTCATTGCAATACTTAGAATGTTTGGGGACTAGTTGGTCTTCTTGACCAAAACAGAAGTTTTTGGTTCCCAATCCAGCATAAAAAAGTCTCTTAAATTAAAGGTTAGTGTCTCTCAGCCTCATTCGTCTCCAGCTGGCAGGTTCTCCTCGATCCTTTTGATGAACTTCATGCGAATTTCTGTCACATTGTCACCTCTTAGTGTGTCCTGAGCGAATCGCACATCCACTGCCATTTGAACCTGCAGCAGTAGAAAAATAACCTTAGTGTGAATAGTTATTGAGGGTTAACAGATCAACAATTAATCTCACACAAACATGCTCACCATTTCAAGAGCTCCTCTCAGCACTCCACAGAGCAGGCTGGAGTAAACTAGATTACTGTGGTTGTCAGGGAGCTCTACAAAGTCCACCAGGGGGTTGCTTTCGAGGATAAGAGAGAACTCATCTCCAGCAGGACTCCAGTTGGTCACGCTGGGGGTGATACCCAAGTACATCTTGAAGGCTACCTGTTAACATTAGACAAAAAGGCTCTTGAGTCTTCATATTAACTCGCTTGCCTACATCTATGATGTCAGGGCCACATTAAGTGATTTTGCAGATCTGTCACATTCTTTTTAGGTACTGTATTCACGACTCTGACACTGAAATGATTTGTTTTTTGCACAACTGCACAGTACGAGTTTGAAAAGATGTTTTGAGGACAGGCCATAAGAAGACCAACATTTTGATTATTTTACATCACAGTAACAGTATATGACAATTTGATGATTTTTGCTGGAATATCAAGTAATTTTTAAATTAAATACCATTTAACTATTAACAATTTTACATAATCCAAAGAATTAAATATATCAAAATGGAAGTTACTGATTTGACAATGTTTTCTTGTTATTTTAGAAACCTGGACACAAACTGAAAACATAAGATTACTATAAGGAGGCAGAATAAGATATTTTAGGGATGCATGGCACCAATTTGGTTATAGGCTGATAGTACATTTATTTATTTATTTATTTTTAATTGATGTCAGTTGCTATTGGATATTTACTTATGTAGCTTATTTCTCCAATTTTCAATCAAATCTCAAAATTAATATTTATTTTTCATACTGTAGATGATGATGTTGTGATGAAAATAAAATATAAATACATGAAAAGCTTAAACTTAAAAAACCTAAACGAAGATTAGAAATGGCAACTTTAAATTCAATTTGAAATAAAATTTAATTAAAGCTAAACATAAATAGTAAAACCCAAAACTAATAAAATGGCAAATGCACATAACAAAATTACTAAAACTTGAACTAAAATTAAAATGACTAAAATTAAAGTAAAAAAAAATAAAAAGCTATTTTAAATAATAACTATAATGTCTATAAATATTTCTACACTATATAAAAAAGATACTGTTTGGAGCATTTAAAGCAATTCCTTCCTAGTCTTTAAGACAACAATACAATGAATGAATATTACAATTATTCATCAATTAATATTAAAATATTAATTATTGCTTATATTGAACATAATTTAAATATTGTGCATCCCTTGATTACATCCTTAGATATCAGTTCAAACACAGCTTCACAATAAGTAACACCATAATTAAATAGCTTTGATTCTAAATTCAGAATGGATGTGCCCTGTTTGAAGCCATAAAATAGATAAAATACACACACCTGTGAATGCACATAATTTGAATTCTATATTAATGCCCCCAGTCACTGCATTGCTTTGCAACCATAAACAACTAAACAAAATCCTTCACATTATAACCCTCATTAAAGTGATTTAATACAATTTTTTTTTAAGACCCATAGGTTTAGGATTCTAATCAGGGTCCCATCAAACCGATGCACTGTGGATTAATATTTAACAACGTGGCACACGTGGAGGAAAGTAAGGAGAAAAAGACAGACAGAAGAAGAACGGAGAACAGACAGACAGGGACCAAGCAAGCATGGACAGGTGATGGACAGGGGGAAGAACGCTCTGTCAATCATGTCAGTGTGAACCTTAGGGTGAGGTGCATTGTTTCGTAAAAAAGCACTGTGGCTCTCCCAGACCAAAGAAAACAAGCCGAGAGGAACACGAGTGTCTCGGTTCACTCTAACACCTTACAGACGGCCTGCCAGTTGGCTTTGCGATAGCATAACGTGGATGTTTCTCAAGCTGTGTGACTCTGAAAAATTAAAAACGGTAGAAAGATGTGATGAAAGCTACGAAAATATGTGGGCTACTGCAGGTTGAGGTTACACTATATAAAAAAGATACTGTTTGGAGCATTTAAAGCAATTCCTTCCTAGTCTTTAAGACAACAATACAATGAATGAATATTACAATTATTCATCAATTAATATTAAAATATTAATTATTGCTTATATTGAACATAATTTAAATATTGTGCATCCCTTGATTACATCCTTAGATATCAGTTCAAACACAGCTTCACAATAAGTAACACCATAATTAAATAGCTTTGATTCTAAATTCAGAATGGATGTGCCCTGTTTGAAGCCATAAAATAGATAAAATACACACACCTGTGAATTTTTTTTTAAGACCCATAGGTTTAGGATTCTAATCAGGGTCCCATCAAACCGATGCACTGTGGATTAATATTTAACAACGTGGCACACGTGGAGGAAAGTGAGGAGAAAAAGACAGACAGAAGAAGAACGGAGAACAGACAGACAGGGACCAAGCAAGCATGGACAGGTGATGGACAGGGGGAAGAATGCTCTGTCAATCATGTCAGTGTGAACCTTAGGGTGAGGTGCATTGTTTCATAAAAAAGCACTGTGGCTCTCCCAGACCAAAGAAAACAAGCCGAGAGGAACACGAGTGACAAATTCCAGTCACTTGCTTGCGCATTAACATGCTTGCCTGCTTCTTGATTCTCTCTTTCGCTTGGTCTAAGGGAGGGCTCAGCATGCGCTCTGATTGGCTCCAAGTACTCACATTACCTTTGCAATGACATCGGCCGTTTCTCGGAAATCGTGACACCTCCCCACGCTGGACCGAGCCAAGAAGTCCTCAATCAGACGCACTCCGATATTGTATCCCCTTGAAAGGATGGAAGAAGAGAAGGGAAACTGTGAAACTGTGTCACTGTCAGAGCAACTTCGCTTTCAATCGCCCTCATTTCACCTGCCAACGCAATCATAAGAGCTATAATCTCTTTTTATTTTAAAGGTCTTAGTAAAGCCCTTTAACTTCAAGGACTCAAAAAGAGAGATACAAACTTATTGGTTGGAGAGAAAATCAAATCTTGCATATTAGACGCTTTAAAGAAGCAATAGGAAGATTGTATTTCAGACATGCTGCCAAACCCAATATCAGTGGGACTACTGGATTAGTTCAAGGCAAAGTTTAAATGAAAAGACCACTCAGCCAAAGAATACACGCTGCCCACTGATTCTCTAAATCAAAACCGTTGGACTCCAAGTATCTCAGGGCTTTCCACGCATCCTCACTGCTTTTCCCACAATCTTTAAACCAGAGCTTCCCCAACTGGTTTGATTCAGGGCTTAGATTTTACAATTAAGTGTTGGGTTCCACACAACACAGTACCAACATTTTTCAACAAATAACAGCAACAAATATTCACTTAAACATAAAAATTTATTAATACAATTAATTGCACAGGCCCCAAAATATGCAAAACTATTAAAAGGCACAATATGTAAGATTTATAGATTAAAATATCCCAAAACCACTAGAACAGAGTTACATATTTTGATGAGTTGTGTACTTACATTTAGCCAAAGAATACACGCTGCCCACTGATTCTCTAAATCAAAACCGTTGGACTCCAAGTATCTCAGGGCTTTCCACGCATCCTCACTGCTTTTCCCACAATCTTTAAACCAGAGCTTCCCCAACTGGTTTGATTCAGGGCTTAGATTTTACAATTAAGTGTTGGGTTCCACACAACACAGTACCAACATTTTTCAACAAATAACAGCAACAAATATTCACTTAAACATAAAAATTTATTAATACAATTAATTGCACAGGCCCCAAAATATGCAAAACTATGAAAAGGCACAATATGTAAGATTTATAGATTAAAATATCCCAAAACCACTAGAACAGAACAGTGTTACATATTTTGATGAGTTGTGTACTTACATTTACCCAAATGTTTTGAAGGATGTTTAAATCCAGAGAAATAAGCAATTTTAACTAGTGTAACGGACCGTGTCCATAGTGTCATAGCGTCGCCTGCCAATGACGTCATAACCCCTCAATTTTTCCGGTTTTATTTTGTTGAAAACCCCAAAGACACTTTAATATGTTATGCATTTTATTAGACAGGTTGACGAACGTACAGAGTAGCATTATAACAGAACTTTCAGTACACTCAAATGTATCTAGTATAAAACAGTGCTGTTTTGCCCCACATACGCACGACCAGAAGAAGCGGAAGTGGTTGACTGTGGCATAATAAAAGCTCTGCTGCTATCGAGCCGTGTATCACGCTCGTCCTTCATTAGCAATCACTCCAGCGGCCTCGTTTCGCTTCCACGACTTTTAGCCCCACCCTGCTTCATATTACAGTGACCTTAAGTCTTTAATACATTAGCTCATCAATGAACATGATTTCTGCCCGAGTCCCGTCGGATTGCATCAGCTGTGGGGATGAAGACGACAACTCCCATGATTCCACACCCAGTCACGGCATCATCAAACTACGCATTTGTTTCTTGTTTGTTTTGAATATGCGCCCTCTAGCGATGAAAACTTACATATTGTGCTTTTAATAGAAAACGATAAACAAAAATTATTCAAATAAAAAATAGATATATTCTATTAGGATGGTTAATATGAGAAATGCACAGCTGTTAGAGCAGAAAAATATTAAAAACTTCAAGTCAATAATTGCATGTAAATGTAATGTGACATTTCAGGGCAATTAACACTATAGAAAATAACGGACATCTAAAAACACCTTGTGGTCGGCACACATTGTAGTGTGGGTCACATTTATTTTTATTTTTTTACCTTGTGTAGTTTTGTTCAAAGTTTTGAGGATAAGTGCAAGTCATTCAACCTGTTCAGATTAACATCTGCCTAACTTTGTCTAGCTTCCACTAAGTGACAGGCGCTGGAGATTTTGTTTTGGGAGGCATTTCTCTTCCCTTTTAAAAGCCGACAAGGCTAATGTACACTACTGTTCAAAAGTTATTCACCAAAGAATCTGAAAAAAAGTTTCTAAAAAAATATTAAACTGCACAACCGTTTTAATCATTGATAATAAAAATAAAATGTTTCTTAAGCACCAAATCATCATATTAGAATAATTTCTGAGGGCTCATGTGACAATGGAGTAATGGCTGCTGAAAATTCAGCTTTGCCATCAAAGGAATAAATTACATCGTAAAATATAGAACATTTATTTTAAATTGTAATAACATTTCAGAACATGCAAGATATTACTGTTTTATCCTGTATTTTTGATCAAATTAATGCAGACTTGGTGACTTCTTTCAAAATCATAAGAAACTTATTCTACATGCATTTTATTATTTGCAGCGATTTCCCCTGCAACCCACCAGTGCAGTACAACATGAGATGAAACTTGCTAAAATAAAATAAAATAAATAAATCTCTATCATCCATCTATTTAATCTGGATCCACTCAAACAGTGGAATAGAATTTGAGAAGTACAGCCAAGTGGGGAACAGAATCATGCATCTGAAAAACCAGGGTTGTAACCTGCAGCTGCACAATTCATTTAGCAGGGAGGGGAGAGAGACAGCTCTCGAAAGACCTTGAGTGGCACATTTTATACTCTCAATACCACCCAACCCAGCTTCAGCAGACTGGATGGCACAATCACCACACCTAATATAACAGCCTACACCCAGCACAAACACTGACAATACAACTCTCTCTATGTTGACTAGTGACTAAGTGACTAGACAACCATAAAATAAATAGAAAGAGCAGTTATAGCACGTGAAAATCTAAACATATTCCTTACACTTTCATAGAATTTTTAAACTTCAACCTTAGAAAAGAGAAAATATTCATGCCATTTGTAAACTGTTGATTTAATGTGACCAGATGGTGATGGATAGGTGAGAAACAGAGAAAGACAGACTTACATTTTATCCAGTTGTTTGTTGACTTCCTCGTCATTTTCATAGTCCTTACACAGCTGAGTAACCAGAGCTCCATAAGTGAGAGTGAATAATTCTGAATTCTGTTCAAGAAAAAGACAGGCCCAAAATTACCCACCACCATATTAATAATATCCACTGTGTTTACCTAAGAAAGACTGACACTGAATGCTATAAAATATAATAACATTTAGTATGATCACATATTCTTTTATGTATTTTAATAAGCACAGGTCAGAATACATATGTTGTTTCATTTTTACGTAATTATTTCTGTTACGCTGAATGACCACGGTTTGTTACTGAATCACGTTTTGCTAAAGAGGGAAATAATATTGTCATTGTGCCCATAACATTGTGCAATGCAATGTTTTAGTTTTAGTCTGTATCATTAAATTCGTTTTAATAATATTCCTTAGAAAATTAAAGCAGAAGCAGATGTTGAAAAGTAATAAGCATTTTATTCTACTGTTCTGATGCTCTCTGCCATGCTTGCTTAGCTTGTCACTTTGTTTCTGACTTGCTCTGCAAAAATGGCTGCTTGCAGGTATATTTATGAATACTTTCTGTTTCCCAACATAAATGACATGATCAGTATGTGTATTTGAGGTGGAGAATCCCCTCAGTGAACTCTCTTGAACTTGTGACATACTGTAGTGGGGGGGGACTCTGTGTTCAGAAATATTGGCAAGCGATTATTCTCTATCATTATAGTTATCTTTATAGTTATTGTTCTTGGTGTGAACAGGCATTAAGAGTGCCACCCAAGTTACTGGATCTGCATTTACTTTATTAGCTTTTTGTCTTTTTACAGTGCTAGCAGCTCTCTCTGTTTGTGGGCATCTAAAATTAATCAATACCACAAACTAAACAATACAAAAATGCATTAAATAAGTAATATTTAAGTTGAACACATATTTGTGTGTTAAATATTCCAAATGTATCTGTAATATAAATAAGATGCTAAAATTGTTATTTATACAGTTGACACTGTCATTCAGTCTAATGGATGACACTGTGGTGTAACAGAGAATTTGCATTACACCAAATGACAAAAAAATTACCCTAAATGAAGACACATCTACTTCAGCTTATATTGCAGGCAATCACCTATTTCAAACACTAAGCTTGACCAGTGAAGTTAATCACAATTATTCACAACTACTTATTTAAAAAAATAAAATAAAAAACAACAACAAAATAACAATAAAAGTGTTTTTTTGGCATTTCATTGAATGACGTGTTTTTGTAACTTAGGTTACCACACCATGAAAAGGTGAAATTATCAAATCTTATTTAGTTTATTAAATCTCACTTAGTTTATCTCTGATAAACTGCATTTTTTGGGACAAAAGTCCCCTGGTTATTTAAATAAATAAATAAATAAAATAAGGTGTAGTCCATTTAATATATAACAGCCAACACTTATTTGAAAATGCCAAGAAAACAAATATATATATTTTTTACTTGGTATATTATGTTTATTTAAAGATGTAATGGTAAAATCAAAGTCCGGACCATTACACTGAATGACAATTTTACAATTTGGAACACTATTTCCCCCATTTTTTGACATTTTATTTTCACCAAAGTAATGTGAAATATGAAAGTAGACACTTTACTTGCATTTAACGTTTTTTTATGTATTCAAAATTACTTTTGTAAAATTAATTTGATGCGGACACCAAAATGGTGACGTCTCGTCTTTGATCCACCTGCTATAAAAAAACTTTAATTTTGAAATGTGTTTTTATTTTTACATTCGCTGCAATAACAACAATAATGTGACTGATTATTTATTAAATGAATAACAAAGCATTAACATTTAAATAAGATTAAAATCAAATAAATAAATGTCTGTTATCTATAGACTGTGGTCGAGGGCTCCAACACTTATAAAATACCTATTTTCTTAGATAAGCGTAATTATTTCTGTTACGCTGAATGACCACGGTTTGTTACTGAATGACGTTTTGCTAAAGAGGGAAATAATATTGTCATTGTGCCCATAACATTGTGCAATGCAATGTTTTAGTTTTAGTCTGTATCATTAAATTCGTTTTAGCATTTTATTCTACTGTTCTGATGCTCTCTGTCATGCTTGCTTAGCTTGTCACTTTGTTTCTGACTTGCTCTGCAAAAATGGCTGCTTGCAGGTATATTTATGAATACTTTCTGTTTCCCAACATAAATTACATTATCAGTATGTGTATTTGAGGTGGAGAATCCCCTCAGTGAACTCTCTTGAACTTGTGACATACTGTAGTGAGGGGGGACTCTGTGTTCAGAAATATTGGCAAGCGATTATTCTCTATCATTATAGTTATCTTTATAGTTATTGTTCTTGGTGTGAACAGGCATTAAGAGTGCCACCCAAGTTACTGGATCTGCATTTACTTTATTAGCTTTTTGTCTTTTTACAGTGCTAGCAGCTCTCTCTGTTTGTGGGCATCTAAAATTAATCAATACCACAAACTAAACAATACAAAAATGCATTAAATAAGTAATATTTAAGTTGAACACATTTGTGTGTTAAATATTCCAAATGTATCTGTAATATAAATAAGATGCTAAAATTGTTATTTATACAGTTGACACTGTCATTCAGTCTAATGGATGACACTGTGGTGTAACACTTAGCTTGTCACTTTGTTTCTGACTTGCTCTGCAAAAATGGCTGCTTGCAGGTATATTTATGAATACTTTCTGTTTCCCAACATAAATTACATTATCAGTATGTGTATTTGAGGTGGAGAATCCCCTCAGTGAACTCTCTTGAACTTGTGACATACTGTAGTGAGGGGGGACTCTGTGTTCAGAAATATTGGCAAGCGATTATTCTCTATCATTATAGTTATCTTTATAGTTATTGTTCTTGGTGTGAACAGGCATTAAGAGTGCCACCCAAGTTACTGGATCTGCATTTACTTTATTAGCTTTTTGTCTTTTTACAGTGCTAGCAGCTCTCTCTGTTTGTGGGCATCTAAAATTAATCAATACCACAAACTAAACAATACAAAAATGCATTAAATAAGTAATATTTAAGTTGAACACATTTGTGTGTTAAATATTCCAAATGTATCTGTAATATAAATAAGATGCTAAAATTGTTATTTATACAGTTGACACTGTCATTCAGTCTAATGGATGACACTGTGGTGTAACAGAGAATTTGCATTACACCAAATGACAAAAAAATTACCCTAAATGATGACACATCTACTTCAGCTTATATTGCAGGCAATCACCTATTTCAAACACTAAGCTTGACCAGTGAAGTTAATCACAATTATTCACAACTACTTATTTAAAAAAATAAAATAAAAAACAACAACAATAAAATAACAATAAAAGTGTTTTTTTGGCATTTCATTGAATGACGTGTTTTTGTAACTTAGGTTACCACACCATGAAAAGGTGAAATTATCAAATCTTATTTAGTTTATTAAATCTCACTTAGTTTATCTCTGATAAACTGCATTTTTTGGGACAAAAGTCCCCTGGTTATTTAAATAAATAAATAAATAAAATAAGGTATAGTCCATTTAATATATCACAGCCAACACTTATTTGAAAATGCCAAGAAAACAAATATATATTTTTTTTACTTGGTATTTTATGTTTATTTAAAGATGTAATGGTAAAATCAAAGTCCGGACCATTACACTGAATGACAATTTTACAATTTGGAACACTATTTCCCCCATTTTTTGACATTTTATTTTCACCAAAGTTATTTGAAATATGAAAGTAGACACTTTACTTGCATTTAACGTTTTTTTATGTATTCAAAATTACTTTTGTAAAATTAATTTGATGCAGGCACCAAAATGGTGACGTCTCGTCTTTGATCCACCTGCTATAAAAAAACGTTAATTTTGAAATGTGTTTTTATTTTTACATTCGTTGCAATAACAACAATAATGTGAATTATTATTTATTAAATGAATAACAAAGCATTAACATTTAAATAAGATTAAAATCAAATAAATAAATGTCTGTTATCTATAGACTGTGGTCGAGGGCTCCAACACTTATAAAATACCTATTTTCTTAGATAAGAAAAAGGGAATTTCATAAAAAACAGTATGTTTTGGTGGAGTCCAAGAGTCTGAGCTCACTAGTGAAATGCTTCTATGTAAATGAATACAACTTTTCATTACAACTTCTATTATAAGCATAACAATTCGAGTGAAACACTAAAACTGAAGAATGTTATTATTTCTAATAGCCCTCTTTTGCTTTCATGAAAGAAGCACTTGGGCTGCAAATTAAAACCTAATGAACATGTTCTGCTGCATGAATTGGGAAGAACCAAAGAGAATCTTGAGCTTAAATATCAGGCTTTAAATATGGTTTCAGACTTTTGAACCGCACTACAGGTGCATCTCAATAAATTAGAATGTCATGGAAAA